CGAGATATTACAAGTACTTCCTGAGAATTTATGTGATATAACATACTACTAGAGATATTCTAGTGATATTCGAAGTATGTTATATACGGTACGTATATTTGCAGTACGAGTACAGAATATTCGGGAAATATCATGTGCTGTATGGGTTTTAATTTTTTCATATTTGCATGTTGAAGTTTTAAAATATTTATGCATGTGCACATACGTATGTACAAGTATACACACATAAAAATTTTATTATATAAATATGGGGCATTCCACATCAAATCAACCTATCTCATTGTAACTCGTGGTCAGACAGACAGACAGTGTGAATGCGTGGGTGGATGCTAGGCTCGTGCGCCCACCCGCTACTCGTGGCCAAGTGTGAATGCGTGGGTGGATGCGTTGGTGGGCAAAACTTTCGAAAACTCACATAGCAGCCATCTCCGTTTGGAAAATTTAGAGACCGTGTTGAGGAAAAGATACTCCAAAATTAAGCCCGATGGCATTGCTGAACTAAGTTTTATTTCTGCTCCCACTCTATGTTACTTGCACTCTAAGTTCTTCTTGCCTACGTCACGTTGATTGAGACACGGCTTTTGTAATACTCGTACACTTTAATAAAGATATACTTTGAAATTCACCTTGGTTGTAACAGGTTATGGGCCCAGTGAGAGGCAACACGCGATAACCTGATTGAATTACTGTTCTGAGAACTGTAAGGTAAGTATTTATCTGACAAATTAAAGTAAATACTATACGTGTGGACTGTATAGGACAAAGAGTAGAACAATGGCGGATAAAATGCTATTTAACCTACCGACACTTTTTTTTTTGACCCGGTGGAAATCCTCATGTACCGTCCCCCCGTCCCGCTGGGACGGTGACGGGGGGTGTGTGGGACTCGCCCTCCCTGTACCCCAGGCAATTGACGACCTGGAGCCAGCGTGCAATGGAGGGCGCCTACCGCACTAAAACCACCGGGGGTGGACTTCTCTGCGCATGACTGGGCCACCTAGGGATCGTGCGAGCATTTCCTCTAGGTGGTCCTGCGCCGCGCGTGGCTCGCGCTCACCTTTGGCCCTTTGACTGGGCCCGGCCCTTAGAAGGGCCTTCTCCTACTTTAGCGACGGGTGCCACCGGCCCCTCGCCACTCCCCCTAGTTGCTTGTGGGGGAGGGCGGGTCGTGGGTCTCCAGCCCACGCCCGCCCACCAGGGGTCCCGAAGGACTTCCTGGTTTAATGCTCCTTTTAGTCGCCTTTTACGACAGGCAGGAGATACCCCAGGCCTATTCTTACGGCGGGACCTGGACGCCAAAATTCCCCCTTTCCTTCTCGCGTAGTACCTTGGTGCTCTTCGTCCTGGCGGCGGACTACCTAACCTCCTCCTTCTCTCGATGGGGATGTCCAAAGGGGACAGGATCCCCTTATTAGGATATCCCCTACCACTTGCGCAGATGCGCTGGAATTCCGCGGGGGGCTCTTCTGCGTCGCCTTCCCCGCTGACTCCCGTTCCCTCTAAGCTGGGGGTCCGGAGGATCAACCTCTCCCCTCCTTTCCCTCTCAGCTTGCTCCTTCCGCGACATTACTCGCTCGCAAAAGAGCGCAAAGGCCTTCCAGGCCTCCTCTCGCTCTGTCACGGCTTTGACTACCGCCGGCAGCGAGAGGTCTTCCCCTATCTCTTCTGTGAGCGCACGGCGCTCTTCTTCCCACGCTGGACAACTGTCCAGCGTGTGTTGCGCCGTGTCTCTCTCCTCGTTGCAGTGATGGCATCGTGGATCAGGTTCCTTCTGGATCCTGTGCAGGTACTCACCAAAGCAACCATGCCCGGTGAGCACCTGCGTCGTCCTGTAGGACGCCCACGTCCATGAGCGGTCTACCCACTCATCCAAGTGAGGGAGGATGGTCTGGACTGTCCTTTGGCCCGCACGGTACGGTTTGGCAAGCCATGTCCGCCATTCCTCCCTCACTCTCTTCTTAATGCGGAGGCTGAGGAGCCTCCTCTCCCTCTTAGGCACCGGGATCCCGCTCTCCTTTCGCTCCGCCACCTGCTCATAAACTTGAGCGTGTGCGCGGGCGTTCATCTCTATTGGGGGCATCCCGGCCATCAACGTGGCTGCCGCGTGGGATATCGTCCTGTACCCCCTGACCGCCCTGATCGCCATGCGGCGCTGCGTTTCATTCAGCACCGCAAAGGCCTTCTTATTCTTCGTCAGGGCGGCCGACCACACTGGGGCTCCGTACAGCGCGATCGAATCGATGACATTCGCGTACAGCCTCCTGATTTTCCCACGCGGACCGCCCAGGTTGGGCATCAAGCGCGACAAGGCACTCGCTGCCTTGTCCAACCTGGGCGTCAGCCGGTTGAGGTGCTCCTCGAACCTCCACCTACCATCTACGTGGAGGCCCAGATACTTAATCTGGGCCCCCACCTGGACGCGGACGTCCTCCATCTTCATCCACGATGCTGGCGGCTTTCCCAGAGAGCCATCGTGAATAAACACGGCCTCCGTCTTCCCCGCCGCCACCTTAAGGCCAAGGGCTCCTATCGCCCTCGCCACGCAATCTATGGCGACATTCGCCACTTGGGTCGCTTCCTCCCATCCCCTCCCACTGGCCACGACCAGAGTATCATCTGCATAGCAGATGGTCGTGCAACCAGTGGAAAGGGCTGCGTCCAGCACCCTGTCATATGCGACGTCCCACAGGATCGGCCCTAACACCGATCTCTGCGGGACGCCGCACGTCACCTGCCACTCCCTGCTCTCGCCCTCTCTATCCATGCAGGAGATTTTGCGTCCCTCCAGGTAGTCCCTGATTATCCGTTTCAGATAACCAGGGACCACCATATCCTCTAGGGCTCTTCTAATTTCTACATGGGGGAGGGAGTTGAAGGCGTTTGCTATATCCAAAGCAACCGCCAGCACCACTTCTCCCTCCCCCAGCATCTGGTCAGAGAGGGACTTTAGCCGCTTGATCGCGTCTACGGTCGACCGTCCCTCCCTGAAACCGTATTGCCGATCCGACAACCCGCATCCCTCGCCTCCTTCCAGGTATCTGGTCATTCGGTTTGCCACCACCCGCTCCATCATTTTTCCAGCCTCGTCCAACAGACAGATCGGTCTGTAGCTGGACGGAGCTTCGGGTGGCTTACCCTCCTTTGGGAGCAGGACCAGCCTCGCTTCTTTCCAAATATTTGGGAACTTCCCCTCCCTTAGGCAGGCTGAGAACAGTGTTCTCAGCCTCTGGAACTTTTCCCCTATGGCCGCCTTCCACGCGATTGCAGGGATGACATCCGGTCCCGGGGCTTTCCCTGCCTTCAGCTTCTTGGTAGCCGCCAGCAGTTCAGCCTCCGAGACCTCATACCCCTCCTCGTCCTCACTCTCCTCTCGCGGTTGGTATGCCTCCACATTCGTTTCCTCGTCCCTTTCCGAAAATAGAGTGGCTACCACCTCTTCCAAAAACCGAGGATCGAGCGACTCCACCGTTGGGGGCGCCCCGCTGTTCAATCTGTTCATGACCAGCCTGTAAGGGCGTCCCCACGGATCCTCATCAAGTGTGCCGAGGAGCTCCTCCCAGGCCGCCTCCTTGGCCCTCTTGACAGCCACTTTGAACTCAGCTCGCCGCTCTCGGTACACCTCCTTGAGCTCGTCTATGTACGTGAACTGCCCGTTCCTCCTCCGTTCCCTTTGCAGGGTCCTTGCTCGGACCGAGGCTTTTCTTAACTCCGAAATCTCCTCGGTCCACCAGTAGGCGCTCCTTCTGGGTGCGAACTTGGCTCGAGGCATTGCGGCAGCTGTCATCGCGCCTCTGAGCCATTTCGCCTCCTCCATGCGTCTCGGCCCGCGCTCCCAGTTGGCCACCGCTAGCGACGCCAAGAGCCTGTCCGGTTCCATTTTGAGCGTTGCCCATCTTCGCGGACCTTCTCTCTCTGCCGTTCCGCCGTTTCTCACGCGGAGCTCCATCTCGATTGGCAGGTGGTCGGATAAGATGTCTATCTCCTCCGCCACCCGCCATGAGACGACCCACCTCGCGGCCACAGGGGAAATCCATGATAAGTCTATCACAGATTCCCCCTGCGCGCGCACGTACGTGCTCCTGTTACCTCTGTTCATGAGGTGGAGCCCTAGGCGCGCGGCCCACTCTACTACTTCGCCTCCCTTGACGTCCGGCCGCCGGGAACCCCACATTGCCGATTTGGCGTTAAAGTCCCCGGCGACCAGTATGGGGGCTGGCAGCAGTCCCGCGATCTCATTTTCGAGGGTGTCCAGCCTATCCTCGAACTCGTGACGGGACAGGCTGGGCCGCAGGTAAACTCCTATGACCGTCAACGGTCATAGCCACCGAGCCGTCCGTACTGCCCGCCCAGCATGGGTGCTTGGGCACTCTGTTCGGCTCGGAGGCTATGCCCAGCCCGCAGTTCTTTTCCGCCAGGCTATGCAAGAAAAGATCTTGCGCCTGGCGGGAGCGGGCCAAATTCGCTTGCATCACCCTCAACATTGTGTTGAAGGCGATGCCCTTTCAGCCAGTGATCCCAGATTGCGGGATTTCTGGCGCACGCGCAGTAGCGCAAGCTTGAGCAGCCGCTCAGTAGCGTATACGTTCTTCTTAACTTGAGGGTTTAGATAGAACCCTTACAAGAAAAGTATAGGAAATATCGTACAAAAAGTTTTTTATCAATTAAATAAATGTTTAATAAACTGCTCTATATAATATATAAATCATTAATGAGTTTTAATAAAAAAATCGATGTAAAATTGAATAGTAAAGAGCACTGGTTCCTAGAAACCCCCCACGTTGCCTGTATGTACGAGTCTTTCATGGTAGTCACGTGATCACTATGCGCATGGCAGAAAGGCTCGCGCTACTGCGCGTGCGCCAGAAATCCCGCAATCTGGGATCACTGCTTTCAGCCTCCTCCTGGCCTTCTCCCCCTCCGGTCGCCGTTGGTTCGGCTCCCTGTTGTTTCTTGGTCAAGGGTTCAATCTCCATCGCCTGTTCGGCTCCGTTGACCCTCCCCCTGACCTCTTTGTTTCCTTCCTCCCTCGCTTTCTGCGCCCCTGTTTGTCTGGCCTTCTTCGCGGCCTTCTTGGACATCGGGGGGCAGGTTGCCCCTCCAGCCTTGTGCTTGGCTGGTAGCTCCCTTGCCACACACACCGAGCACTGTGGTTGCTCGGTGCACGTCTGGGCCTTGTGCCCCTCCCGTCCGCACCTGTAGCAGGTGTTGCTACGGTCGACAGGGTTCCGGCACTGCTGCCTCACGTGCCCCCGCTCTAAGCAGCGGAAACGCACGAGTGGGCGGGCATCGAGTAATTCTACCCTTGCCGATGCCCATCCCACCCTGATCCTCCTCTTTTCGGCCACCTTTTTGGCCACGGCCAATGGGCATTGTACCCAGACCGTGACCATACCCCCGGGGGCCGATTTCAGCTGGCCTACTTTAACCTCCACCCCGTCGCATTCTCCAGCTCTGGCTATCACCTCCTGGAGTTCGGCTCGCGTCACCGACTCGTCCAGGTCCTTGATGCAGATCTCTCCCATCTTGGACGGTCTGGCGAACTCCCTCCTTATTTCCTACTGCCTTGCGAATATGCTCGGCAAGTAGGTTCGCCTTCTCCAGTTTGTCGGCCCCAGCTACCTCCAGGATTAGGGCCCCGGTTAAGGCCTTCCTCTGTTTGAGGGGGCCAATCCCCAGTTCGTCCAGGTTCACTTTGGACCTAATGTCCCTCATCCCCTGTGCGAACTCTCCCGCTGGGAACATGATCGACACCGCCTCGCTTCTCGGGGTCCTTCGGTTCCGCTGTTCAGGGCCCCTCCCTTTGCCCGCCGCTGGTTGGGTCGCGGCTTCCTTCCTCTTGGGAGCGTTCTTCGCCTCATTGCTCCCTTTTGGCCTTTGGGGTGCACTATTCCCCTCCGCGGGCTGCGCTCTCTTCGCCGGCTTCTTTGCGGCTTCCGCGTAATTGCCTTTACGCTGCGGAGGGTCTGCCTTTTTCTCCCTCAGTTGTTCCTCCTTTTGCAGCGTCTTCGTCTGCGCTTGCCTCGGCACCCTTTGCGGCTTCGGCATCTCCTTGTCGGGCTTGGTTGATGTACCCTTAGCTTCGTCCACTCTGCCCCCCGACTTTCCTCCCTTCTTCCTATCGGAACGGGTTTGTCGGGAGACATCGCGGTCGTCGGCTTTTTCTCCTCTGGATGGGGCTTCCTCTCCTCGTCCTTGTCCTTGTTCTTCCTGACTGGGAGTCTGGACATTGCCCCCTGGCATCGGAGGATTACATCCTCCAATTTTCCGCGCATGGAGGCTGGGTCTGTCTCGCTCGTGATCGCAGAGATGGAGATTCCCTCCATCACCTGCCTAATACCCTCCATCGCTTCCTCGCGGCTTTCCCCCATTTCCTTCTTTCGCCCTTGAACTTCAGGGCGGAGGACCTTTACTGCTCCCTTAAAGGGCTCAATCCTCTTGATGATCACCACCGGTCTTTTGGCTTCGGTGATTTTAGGAGCCGGTGGAGGAAGCGTTTCCGCCTCTCCCACATCTAGCTGCATCTCGGCTTCTTCTTGTCCGGGCCTGGACTTGTCTTCCGCCTTCGCCTTCTCGCTTTCCGCCTTGGCCAGCTGGCTCTCGAGACCCCTGACTCTCTCTCTGAGTCCGCCGTTTTCTCCCCTGGATTTCTCGGGGATTGTGGCTTCCTGTGTAGAGGCCGCGGCCTTTTGAGTGAAGGCCATTACCGCCGCCCTAAGGGCGTTTGTCGAGTTTACTAGTTCTTTGACATACGTACCCTTTAGGTTTTTGGATCGTCTTGCGACCTTTTCTACTATTTTTATGCTGTCCAGCATGTTTGCAGCAATCCTCTCCGGGGCCATGCTCAGGAACTGATCCCTCAGTTCCCTTTCAGGCGTAGAGTCCCGCATGTAGGGCCGCGGGAGAACTCTAGGATCCATTATTTCCTTCAGAGCTCTCCTCTCCTCTCTGAGCATCCTTATTTCTCTTTTGTGCTCCCTCTTTTTTTGGGCCATAAGATGGTCGCCCGTTGTGGGAGGTCTTCCGCGCTTCCTTATTTTGGTCGGCACGACCAAGCTTCCCTCGCTGTCGGTGTCCGACTCGTCTCCCGAGCCCGACATGACGCCGCCGCACGGTTCCGTGTCCGAGCCGTCTATCTCCTCGATTTCCTCTATCTTCGACGAGGACGGTCCTGGTTCCTGGGAATTCCGGTCCGTTTTCCCCCTCGTCCTTTTACGCAAGGCCCGTTTCTGGCCTTTTCCTTTCACAGGAGCAGACGTACTTTAGTCTGCTCCCGCAGCAGCCTTTGAGCCGCTCAACCCCACGTTTCCTCCATTTATTTTGTTTTTATTTTTTATGTGTGTGTTGGTGGAATCCATATTGCATGTATTTAGTTTCATCCCGTTCGCCCATTATGGGACCCCCACCTCGGTGGGGGATCTATCCCGGGGTTAGAAGTGCCCTATTTATGGGCTGGGAAGCGGAGATGCCGTTTATTGGGGGGCCACCCCTATCCCAACCAGTAAAGCTACAAAAAGGTCCCTGGAGACGACCAGGCCCACTATGATGCAATAGTTTTATCCTCACCCCGGGGTCCACGCGCGTGCCGATCCGATCGGTCGCTCACCATGGCCCCAGGCTAGAGTTCGCGAGGGAACTTTCCCCCCTCACAAGGGTCTGAGAGGACGTTGGCTAGACGGCCCCTCCATACCCGCGCCCTGCATGCCGGCTTCAACTCCCTGATAGGCTCCAGACAGACGAGACGGGAGCGGTTTTCCCACATTAAACATGCCACTTCCTGCGGACTTTGCCAGTAAACTGGACTTACATTCCCGCGTAGTCCATGGCAGAGGTCAGGTACAGACGTCACCGCTCGTCCCCGGTCGGGGGGTTTACTACTCCCCCCTTGGTTAGTCTCAGGGAAATATCCACCGGCAGCCGACCGCGGCCCATTCACACACCACACACACAACCGATCCTCCGCCCTCCACGCCCAGCCCCGTACGCCAGGCCGCACGCCCCAGCAGCGGGACGTCGGCCCCAGACGCAGGGACTGACCGCTTCATCACGGAGTATCGGGTGTTGGCCGGCAGGCTTGCCGACCAACTCCTCGAACCATCGGGCCCCGCCTGGGAATGAGTCCCAGCGGCCCCGGCGGTCCCCAGGCGATCGGGCCCCGCCTCGGAAACGTCCGAGCGGCCCCGATTCCCGTCTGTCTTCCGGCCCACTCCGCGGATCCTGGGTACCAGTTTACCGCGGAGGTTCGGCCCCTCCCCCCAGAAGAAACGGACCACGTCCGAGTCAACCGCGGGGAGGCCACGGCTTCCGGCCCTCCTTTCGGCCGGGACCACGTCCCGTTGTGCCTCCGGGGTCCGGCTCTCCCCCGCCAGCGAGCACGTCCACGACGAGCCCGCCGGCGGAGGAGCTCCCCTTGCCACCGCCTCCTGCCGGAACACCGGCGTGCAATGGAGACGGTGGCCTCCCACCGAATCCCAGCCGCCTGCCGGAAGACCGGCGTACAATGGCGACTGGGATTCCTACCCCCTCGTCCGGGTTCCCCCCGATCCCTGCCGAAACACCGGCGTGCAATGGAATCGAGGGGGAGACGACCCGGTCCGGTGGGTGGAGTAAGCTCCCCCCTATCGGCCCCGGAAGCCGGAGGTTTGAACTCGGGGTACCTCATCCCCTACCGGCGAGTGGTCTCAGTTCTGCCTCGACTCACGTCGAGGCAGCCGAGACCGGAGTCACCGGGCTCCTTGTTTCCCCTTTTCAGGGGAAAGGCAAGCTCTTAGTCGGCGAGAGCCCGCCACCGAAACCGCCGATGCCTAAAACGGCACACAGCGGCTTCCAGACAGACTCTCGCCTACAAGCCCCCTCACCACGTCAAGGTGGCTTGCCACGAGGGGGTAACCTACCGACACTGACGAAGGAAAGCTATCAGAGATGGAAATTTGATATGCGAGCGGCGTCGCGGCGTTGGAATCGATTGAGGTCCTGGACATCGTCGATGGAACTCAAGTTTGCCCTACCCTTCTGACCGACAGCTCAAATACTAGTGCAGTAAATGTATGGAAAAAGAGTGATGCTCGTTTAATCATATCATCGAGTCTGGATGCCGATCATCACGCGGCGATACGATCCTGCTTAACCTCAAAACAGATATGGGATACGATCGTAAGTTTATGTGAACAAAATACAGAAACGAATAAATACTTAGCGAATCAGGAGTTTCACCAGTATTGTTTTAGTCCAGGCATGACAATCTCGAGTTATTTTTCTGGTCTTTTAATAATTAAACAGAATTTGGAATCTATAGGAGAAAGGATCACGGACGCTGCGCTTATTGCTAAAATAATTAATGATTTGCCGAAAGATTATGATTTCTTTAGACAGTCATATCGGATTGCTGCTGCTGCAGGTACTGTACTGACCTTAAGTAACATTCAAGCATAATTACAAGTAATTGAACAAGATATTAACAGTAAGCGTGGAAATTCTGTTGAAGTAGGAGAAGCATTAGTTGCTAAGGTTCCTGAAACAAAGAAGCAAAGTCAAAAGAAGAATTACACTAGCAAGGAAAAACGTAAGTGTTGGTTATGCGGAAAACAAGGACATCTGCGAGGGAATTGCAAGTCAAAATCTACTGGACAAACTAATGGAAGTCATCATAAGGGGACTTTTAGTACAAGTAGATGAATACTGTAACGATTCATGGAAAGGCGATTCAGGGAGCTCGAGTCACATGACTAGAAACAAAGGTTCATTTGTAGATTTGGTCCTATTTGACGAGGAGATAAATGTGACTGTTGGCGATGGCTCGAAAATGGTGGCGAAAGGACGAGGAACGGTTGTTGCTGAAATATTTAATGGAACAATCTGGACTCAACGGAAGATACTAGATGTATTATGGGTGCCAAACCTGTGCGAAGGTTTGATCAGCCTGGGAGTACTTACTGAGCGAGGATTCAAAGTTGAATTGAAAGGAAGAAAGCTCAAGGTATTCGACAATGATAAAATTATCTTATTGTTAGGTGGAGTTCGTGGTCCTAATAACCTTTACAGCTTAAAAATTAAAGTCAATGCTGAGGTAGCTCATATTAACGTAGAAAGCTTAAAATTATGGCATGAACGTCTTGCCCATATATCTCCGAAAACGATTGGGAAAATGGCAAAATCAGAGATAGTTGATGGTTTAGGTAAAATCAATCTGAATGAAAACTATTTTTGTGATGGATGTGCCATGGGAAAAATGCATAAGCAGCCCTACAAATCGAGACTCATCAAGAGTGAAGAAGTTGGAGCAGTGATTCATGCAGATTTATGTGGCAAGATGGAAGTTGAGTCATTGAGTCGATCTCAATACTACCTAGAGTTAAAGGACGAAGCAAGTGGATACACTGAAGTCTATTTCATACGAACCAAGGATCAAGTTCTTGAGAAACTGAAACAGTTTGTAGCTGACCAACGGTCTGAGATTGGAAAGGTGATGAAAACGTTCTTTAGTGACAAAGGAACTGAGTTTGATAATGACAAAGTCAAACAATTTTTCTTGCAACATGGAATAAAGCATGTAATGAGTGCTGCTTATAATCCACAACAAAATGGTCGAGCGGAGAGGGAGAACAGGACTCTAGTTGAGCACGCAAGATGTATGCTGTATGCAAAAGGACTACCAAAGGTATTATGGGCAGAAGCTATTAACACAGTCGTCCATACTCTGAATCGAATACCAGCATCTGGAGAAGATAAAACGCCGTACGAGAAATGGTTCGGTAAAAAGCCTTCAATAAAACATCTAAGAGTTTTTGAAACTTCTTGCTATACCCTTATTCCAAAGCAATTGAGGAAGAAGTGGGAGCCCAAATCAAGGATAGGTAAACTAGTTGGCTACACAGACACGGACAAGAATTTTCGAATTTGGAATGAAGAAAGAGGACGTGTTGATATCTGCAGAGATGTAAAATTCGATGACACTTCTGAATTAAGCAATACAACAACAATTTCATTGGATATGCTAAGTGAGAAGAATCAACCCCATGGTTCAGGATCTTTAATTGAAAAACCAGCTGTTAATCATCAAGAGAAAGAAATAGAAGAAACAGAAGAAAATTCAGATGAAGATAATGAGGAAATTCAACCACGAAAACCTGGATGACCAGTAGGCTCTAAAAACAAGACATATGAGAAAGGTCAAAGAGAACTACACGATCGCTTAACGCTCAATCCCCCCAAAAGATATAATGAACATGGTTTTTTTGTTACGTCAGCACCGCTGGATTACGCTGAAGCAGTAAAATCAGAGGACTCAAACTTATGGATGGCTGCCATGGAAGAGGAATATGATAGTTTAATACACAACGAAACTTGGACAATTTCGGAACTACCCCAAGACCGAACTCCAATACAATGCAAATGGTTTTTACTATAAAGGAACGTTCAAATAGCACTACTCCAAGGTACAAAGCTAGACTAGTAGCAAAAGGCTTTGTTCAAAAGCCTGGTATAGATTACGGAGAAACATTCGCTCCTGTAATGAAGATGGATTCTATCAGAATTATTTTGTCTCTTGCTACTTGGTACAATCTAAAAATAGTTCATTTTGATGTTAAGACTGCATTTTTGTATGGAGAATTGCATGAAGAGTTATACTTAGTGCAGCCTGAAGGTTTCAACGATGGCACAGATCGAGTTTGTAGACTGAAGAAAGGACTTTATGGTCTGAAACAAGCGTCAAGATCTTGGAATACTAAACTAAATAAGTTCCTGGAAGATTTTGGTTTGGAGCTCATAAACTCTGATCAATGCGGTTACTTTATGGATGCTGATGGAATTATCATTATTCTTGGAATCTATGTCGACGATGGACTTCTTTGTAGTAATTCTGAAGATGCGACGAAGAAAATCCTAGACTACTTAAAGGAGCACTTCGACATTTCGGTAGAAGAAGCGAAACTGTTTTGTTGGACTTCAGATTGAACGAGATACTGTCAACGACACATTGAAGATACATCAAAGATCCTATATAGAGAAGGTGTTGAAAAGATTCAATATGGAAGATTGTAAGGCGCTGTCAACCCCAATGGATATCAACGTAAAGTTGATTAAATCAACTGGAAAATCAGACGATGAGAAGAAATACCGTTACAAAGAAGCTGTTGGTAGTTTGATTTACTTAATGATTGGAAGCCGACCGGACATAGCCTACTCCGTTGGTAAATTGAGCAGATTCATGGATGCCTATGACAAGACTCATTGGACAGCTGTGAAACATATTCTAAGATACCTGAAAGGAACTTTAGATCTTGGAATTACTTATCATGGAAATGGAACGAATAAACTGGAAGGATTTTGTGATTCCGACTATGCAGGAGATCATGAGACACGAAAGTCAACTTCTGGCTTTATCTTCATGCTGAATGGCGGAGCAGTTTCCTGGAGTTCCAAACTACAACGAATAATAGCTTTATCAACAACTGAGGCTGAATATATCTCATTGACTGAGGCCACGAAGCAATGTATGTGGCTTAGACAATTATTGGCTAGTCTGAACCAAAACCAAGATAAAATTCCAATAAATTGCGATAACCAGGGAGCTCTGAAGCTCGGGCAGAATCCGCAGAGTCATCAGAGAACTAAGCACATAGATGTGCGGTACCATTACGTTCGAGACATGCAACAGGATGGGATGATCAGCGTGGAGTACCTGGCGACAGAGAAACAACTGGCAGACTCCTAACTAAACCGCTTCCCGGTCCAAGATTTAAATATTGTTTAAAGTTGATTTGTATGT